GTGTGGTGCGTGACGCTGCCGGGCAGGGCGCCCCCCAGCGGCGGGGAGTGTCAGGGCGCCTCTCCCCGGCCGTGGCCGCGGGGGCGCTGAGGGGATAAAGGGCAGGGAGAAGGAAGAAAAGCTTATTTTTATCTGATGGTTCTGATGGCACCGCTGAGTTCACGCAGGGGCCAGCGGAGTATTTTTAACTGGTGGCATTCCTCAGGGCAGCTTTGTAGCTGCAGAGGTCTCCCGGCAGTGCCGTGCTCCTTTCGCCCCCTCAGGAGAGGTACGCGCCTTCGTGCTTCCTATTTTTAAAGGCCACCGACAATTAGCTTTTTGAACTCCGGTGTCAATACCCAGCGAAGAGCAGCGTTCTTTGGCCGCCAGATAACTTCATGAAAGAATGCTGCCCTATTGCAGGAGTCGGTTCTGGAGACTGGGATTATATTCTATGGGAACAATGTATTTTGGGCAGCCTGAGTATGTAGATGTCTGTTTGCCCCTGGTTAACGAGGCACACAAAGTTAGCAAACACACGAGCGTGCGCTACCATAATACCCTTTCCATGTGCACCAGTGTTTATCTCGGGTTTCATTTGCTGCCAGATATACACACTCRTACAGTTTTAGTGCTGGTTTCAGGTTCACTACAGCTGTGTTGCACTCACAAAATTGTACCGTGTCACTATAGTAAGATGCTGACCTTTCAACTGCTGTTGGAATTTAATATTTGCTGTAGTATTTGATCTAATTTGTGATTCCTATTCAGTGCATTACTTTAAAAATAGCTAGATTTGCATTTGCTGGGGCCTATTTAAAGCCTCACTCATGTTACTATTAATATCTTGACATGCCAACATCACACAAGTCCAAGTGCTCATGTCTCCCTATGAAGAATCCTGTGATGTTTTTTGGTCATTGAAAGGCTGCAGAAGCCCATTTTTTTTAAAGGAAAGCAAAAAACATCTGACAAAGTCACATAATACTCAGATGTACTTTTTCCTAGAATGAAGGAATTGCTTATGCAGTTTGTTTTTCTCYCAGTGCACTGTGCAAAGCGTCAGTACTGCACATCCAGACCCCTGTGTCCTCAGACACCAACACAGGGTATTGCAATGTTTTCTGAATGCTGCCAAGTGCCACGCGGTGACAAAGTGAAATGAGGACCTGAGCAGTTGCAGACATTGAGAAAGAGCTGTCTGTCTAAATTTCATTATTTTAATAAAGCCTTAATGTGACTTTTTCAAGATGGTGATCCAAATGATGAGTGACCCTCGCCCCCAACAACAGAGAGAACTAAATACTCCACTAAATACTCCAACTAAATACTCCAGGTTTAAAGCTGCAGTTCAGGAGGCAGAGTGTGGAGAAGGATAAAGATCTTCAGGGGAGGCTCAGGTGTGGACAATGACATTACTCCCTGTGGGCCCGGTCCGACTGTCACACTCTGGAGGAGGGCTTAGGGTGCAAACTGGCTTTAGCCAGTGGCTTGGATGGGCATCCCTGACCCCCTGCCCCCTGTGCCAGAAACAYGGGGGTCTGATTCACACAAGCATTGGGAGCTGGGGGCACACAGGCATAAGCTGAAGAGCAAAAATGCACTTGGCTACTTTGGTGCTCACATCTGAAGGTTTGAGTTGAAAAGCAAGATCTTCACRCTGTTGCTTGAGAAGGCAGAAAGAAACATTTTGTTGACCTCAGAACATGGGAGGAAATCTCATTAGTTTTATTAGGCTGTATAAAGATATAAGCCCTATAGTTTGGACTCTGTAAAATGTGCAGCAACAGGAATACTTTGACCCCAGTCCATATGCCAGCATGGCGTGAAGCATCCATGAGGGGCCGATCCTGCAACCTGTGCGTGGTGTGGACTTTGGTGGGCACAGCGCTGGTTTCGCTGGTGTAATCTGACTGAAAGGAAGTCACTGCTGATTAACTCTGGCCATAACTGAGGCGAGGCTCAGGCCTCCTGTTTCTGAGACATTTGAAGAGCACACCRAGTATACGTTATAGATATGGCTGTGGGTGTATGTGCACATGGAAATGTATGCACAAAACTTGGCGATTACATCCTTAGTTCTGTAAGTGGCACTGCTACCGTGGTGTCCAAGGACAGATGTGGATTTACGTAAGCAGGGGATTTTTTAAGAGAGGCCTTTTTAWAAAAAGTATTTTATTTGAAGGAAGAAATAAATTTATTCTATCCCAAGAACATAGGAGGAGGACAATTGCTCATCTCCAGATTTCAGACCAACATCAAATCCCCCTTCTGAGTGAAGTGTCAATGCTGCTTTTCCAAAGCACGATCCCTATCTCTGGTCTTTCTCTGATGGAGTTTGTTTTGCACCAACAAAAATAGTGTCCCAGCACAGAAAGCCTGGGAAACTCTTTGTTTACTAAATGCAGCAAAGGGAATCCTCTACCTTAGTCCCTTGAATTCGGGAGCGTGTCACAACCTGTGTTGGGAAAGCAGCATAACAACCACAAAGGGGGAAGAAGCAGTAGCAGACCCCTGGGTTTCCTAACCTCCTTCCACCTGCGTGTGCACGCACACAAACAAAATACAGGAAGAGCCCAGGGGAAACTTTCACAAGGCATAGATGAGCGTGGGGGAGAAGCAGTTGCTTCCCACTGCTGGGCAATGGTTGGCATCCACAGTGTTCAACTTTTTTACCACAAGAAAACAGAGGTGGCATTCACTCCAGGGAGAGGCTGTTCTCACTTTGCCATCCCTTAGAGAGGATGTGGTGGCAGAAGTGGCCCTCCAGGAGCCATCTAAGTGAAGGCATTTGTTGGCTTGGGGTGTTCATAGATTGCAGTCATGTGAAAGCAGCCCCTGGAAATGGAGTGGAAGACTGTGGTGATGGCTCACTTGTGTGTTCCTTTAACAAGCAGGAGCAGATCCTCCCTCCCCACAGAGCTGGGAAGGCTTTGTATGCTGGGAGGGAGGCATGCAGCCTTGTGGGCTGTGACACCCAGGCTGTGCCACCCAGGCTGTGCCAAGAAACACAGGGGGTTGGCCTGCTGCCCCACTGACACCTGAGGGACAGCTGAAGGACATCCTTTAACAAGCCCTGTGGTCATGAGCTTAGTGTGAAGAGGGCCTGGGTTTTACTGTCAGAGGAAAAAGGGAAGGATGTGGGTTGGTCAGCCAGGGCCTGTTCAAGAGAGGTGGTGAAGTAAGCACAAGGAAAGGGGAAAGGGCTTGGTTTGCCCCGCTCCCAGATCTTCTGGGAGGTACTCTTCACTGAGATGGGACAAAATGTCTTGTTTTATCTCACCTTTCAGTCTCTAACCTCTGCTACTGCAGTGATGTAAGATGGGGGCTGGGGCTGCTGAAAGAAAAAACTTTTTTTTTGTATGGTATAGTATAGCAGGTACTGACATCACATCTGAAYCTCTGTAGTGAAGTAGGATCAGTTTTTGGGATGTCACTGGTAAATCCCATTTACTTCTGTTTTCAGGAAGATCCTTAAAAAACTTCTGCTTCTGGGGTTCCTCACAGAGATSATGACAGATGATGCAAGAGTAGAGACAGTGGTCAGGATCCGGTCCCCGGCAGCAACAAGCCCATTTGTTCAGAGAGAGGAGAGGTGGCAGGATCTCCTGGTACTTCCAGGACTGGAGGTGGGCTCCCCTGCTCAGAAATGGGTCTGTGTGAGCTCACTGTTCAAGAATGAAAGCCGAGGTGATCGATAAAATGGGGTAGAAACCGCCARTTGCCTTAGTTCTTAATTATTAACTGCAAGTCCTTTCATGAACTTAGTACCTGAGTGTGGAATTTGGAATCTGACCTTTACTACATCTAGATAAACAGTGTGGCCAAGCCTGTGACTCTCTCTGCAAGCTCCACTCTCAGCTCACTTCTTGGAGGTTCTCACACTTCATGCTGCAGTCAGGAGCTTGGCAGAGTCCAACATGATTCTTCTTACTGTGCTGTTCCTTTGCATCATTTCCACCTACTCAGCCTCTGTTAAAGGTAGGTCTGTACYGGGCTTGCTTCAGCTTCTGCCTCAGCAGAGGCATAACCAGTGTGTGGATGCAGGTCTGTTTTGCCTCAAAAATGATCAGCTTTACTCAGACATCCTTGAGTAATATAAGATGCATTTACTAGTTAGGTTGAAGTGCTTGTAGCATTCTTCTCAGCCGAGGTGATGGAGGAGACAATGTTTTCAAGTGCACAGGGCCAGTGGTGTGACCAGGAGATCARGGATCTTGACCTTGCTTAATCAGAACATGCTGTGGGGGCACTGACTTGAAAGGGGCTATTCACATGCTCAAAAGTTAAACACAGACAGTGCTCTGGTGGAGCAGAGCCAGGAAGTGCTCAGGGCTCTCCAGGTTTCAGCTTCTGAGCAGTTGACTCAGCTACCACTGAAGTCAGCAGGAAGCATCCCATTTATTTCATGAGAAGCTTGCTCTGTAGTAAGTCTTGAGAACCTGGATGTCTGGAGAAGCCCTGTGAGCAGAGCTTTACCCAGGTGTCCTGACAACATCAAGGRTATGAAATCTTGGAGACTCTGCTTCAGCAGTGCCAGTGCATGAAGCAAGGAAAGGTGTCTTTAGTTATTCTTCTTCATGTATTCTTCTTCTTCACCTGACATTAGAGGAACAGCAACCTTGTAAATTGAGTTTTTGAKTTAATGAGGATGTCTTCATCATGATGAGAAGCAGGGAGGACACGCCATCCTGGGTTAAGCTGTTAAAAAGGCTGTAGAGATCTTCTCTTGGATGCCACCTCCTGCTT